TCTTCCTTCCCTCCCTCCCACTTCTCATTGTCTTTCCTTCCTCCATTTTCATTCCTTCCTCCCTCCCTCCCTCCCTCCACATTGTCCTTCCTTCCCCCACTTTCCTTCCTTCCTTCCTTCCTTCCTTCCTTCCTTCCTTCCTTCCTCATTCATTCATTCATTCATTCATTCTTGGTGTTTCCACAACCCTTCCACCATTCTTCAGCCATTGTACTAGCTGGGCAATTCTGGGAACTGAAGTCTACATATCTTAACCTTGCCAAGGTTGAGACACGCTGTCCTCCATCATTTTTCCGCTCTCATTTTTCTATCAAAAGGCGGCGGGGGGGGGGGGAACCATCTACATTTCAGCTTCTTGCAAGATGTCACCTTCCTTCCCTATTTTCCTCCCTTCCTTCTTCCTTCCCTCCCTCCCACTTCTCATTGTCTTTCCTTCCTCCATTTTCATTTCTTCCTTCCTTCCTTCCTTCCTCTCATTTTTCTATCAAAAGGGGGGGGGGAAACCATCTACATTTCAGCTTCTTGCAAGATGTCACCTCTCCATGAACTGCTCCCAAACTCCCTACATCCCTAATTTATTTTACCTGCATCTGAAGAGTTACACATACATTGAAAGTAAAAAAAAAAAAAAAACAAATTAAATAAACCTCTAAAATAAGAAATCGATGAAAGAACAAATGAAGCTCTCTAAATAGAAAAGACGGTGGCTTACCGAGCACGCTGAATGTCAATTCTCTTTTTCCAGACTTTCCAAATTCTTAGCTCCTATAACATATTGTCCTCTTTCTCCAAAATCTAGTCCAGTTTTACAAACTTGGCACAGGTTTTCCTCAATATTTCCCCTCTTGCAAGTGTCAGTCCCCAGTCTCCAGCCTGCTGAGCCAAAATTTTCTTGTTGATGTTGTTAACTTGTCTTTCAAAATTCTGGTGGTTGAAGTCCACTGGCATGTTATTGCAACTTGCCAGCGTATTATTTTAGCTAGGAAGTCCATAATAAAAATGTCTTTTTAAAAACGCAATCCTCAGCTACAGTTCTATGCCCCTGTAGACACTTCAACATTCTAGGTTTTTTAAAATATAGATATATATATCTGTAATTTTTCTTTCTTTCTTAATTATCTTTGAAATGAATCTGCACGGTTAACATTTTCCGAACCCGTTTAAGTCCCTACTGCGTCGTGATGAGAGGATTGTAATGAAAATTAGTTTGTATTCCTTTGATGCGCTGCAGACAATTAAGCAGCTATTGATAATTCATTAGCTACTTGATACCCAATTGATACTTAATGACCACGTTTCCTGATTGAGACTTAATCAAGCTACAATGAGAACCAGGAAATCAGCTTCGTTTCCAGACCAACCTTAACAATAAAAGTAATAAAAATGAACATCAGTAGCTCTGCAGCTGCCGGCCAGCTCTATTAGGATGTAGGCCGCCATTTTGACTTTTTTGACCTCCCACTGCAGGCCGACAACTGTGTTACCTGAACCTTAAAGGCGGACAAAGTTTGCAAAACCCAGTTAAGTTCATCAAGAACTAAGAATGACAAATCTAACAATCTGGACTTTAAACTTCAGGGTATTAGATTAGAAGTTTTCCCACATTTTCTGAGAAATTCTGTGCAGTTCATCAACTCCAAATTGATTTATTTTTTAAAAATTCATTTTAAAAAAATACAGCTCTGGGTCTTCAAACTAGCTGTGTTTTTCCCTTTCTGATACAAAAATAAAGGCTATGTTTTAAATCATAACCACTTGTGGACTTCAACGCCCAGAATTCTGGGCGTTGAAATCCACGTGTCTTAAAATTGCCAGCATTGAACCTCCTGTTCTAAGAAGAAAGGGTTGTGCAAAAAATGAATTCATTCACGGACTTTCATTAATAAATTATATTACTTTAATTGCTCAGCCTATTTGCTTTCCCCAGGACCGATCAGCAAAATATTCCAAGCTTAGGTTTCACCAAGGATATTGAACATGTAAAAACTCTCTTTCTAGATTGACACAATAGACAAAGTCCCACAAGACACTCTCAAGCGTGACACCAATGTGGTTCCACGTGTGATTGGCAGCCGTCAGATTTCCCATTCATACAAATACAATGAGGGAGTGATGTTCAACCCGTCAAGTGATGTGGGATTTGCAGATATGCTTCTCTTATGCAGAAAGGTTTCATTCTCCTTCTTCAAAGAATCATAAAGCTGGAAGGGACCTTGGAGGTCTTCTAGTCCAACCCCCTGCTTAGGCAGGAAACCCTACACCACTTCAGACAAATGTTATCTAATCTCTTCTTAAAAACGTCCAGTGTTGGAGCATTCACAACTTCTGGAGGCAACTTCTGTTCCACTGATCAATTGTTCTCACTTCCAGGAAATTTCTCATTATTTCTAGGTTGCTTCTGTCCTTGGATTAGTTTCCACCCATTGCTTCTTGTCATCTGCCTTCAGGTGCTTTGGAGAATAGTTTGACTCCCTCTTCTTTGTGGCAGCCCCTGAGATTTCGGAAGACTGCTATCATCTCACCCCTGGTCCTTCTTTACATCAAACTAGACATACCCAGTTCCTGCAACCGTTCTTTATCTGTTTCCAGCTCCCTGATCATTTTCTTTGCTCTTCTCTGCACATTTTCTAGAGTCTCAACTATTTATATTGTGGCGATGACCCAAAATATCAGAAGATATCTACTCCTAGTCCTTCTCTTTGTTAGACTACTAGACATACCTAGTTCCCTAGGTCATTTGCTGTACGATCCGGACTTATCATTTTGTTGCTAGAATAGAATAGAATACGATAACAGAGTTGGAAGGGACCTTGGAGGTCTTCTAGTCCAACCCCCTGCTTAGGCAGGAAACCCTACACCGTTTCAGACAAATGGCTATCCAGCATCTTCTTAAAGATTTCCAGTATTGAGGCATTCACAACTTCTGGAGGCAACTTCTGTTCCACTGATTCATTGTTCTCACTGCCAGGAAATTTCTCCTTATTTCTAGGTTGCTTCTGTCCTTGGATTAGTTTCCACCCATTTCTTCTTGTTCTACCCTCAGGTGCCTTGGAGAATAGCTTGACGCCCAAATCTTCTTTGTGACAGCCCTTGAGATGTAGGAAGACTGCTATCATGTCTCCCCTGGTCCTTCTTTTCATTAAACTAGACATACCCAGTTCCTGCAACCGTTCTTCGTATGTTTTAGTCTCCAGTCCCCTAATCCTCTTTGTTGCCCATCTCTGCACTTTTTCCAAAGTCTCAACATCTTTTTTTACATCGTGGTGACCAAAACTGAATGCAGCTTTATTTTATTGTGAGGTTATTGTGCTCTCTGAGCTTGGTGGTTTTCCTGCAGACATTCTATGACCCAACTAGGTAACATCATCAGTCCTCCTCCACCACCACCTTTTTTCTCCTCCCCCCTCCTCCTGCTGCTCTTCCTCCTCCCCTCCTCCTCCGGCTCCTCCTCCACTTCTTCCTCCTCTTCTTCCTCCTCCCCTCTTCCTTCTCCTTCTCCTTCTCCTTCTCCTT